CACAGACCTCGAGCAAACGCCCACCCTCTCCCAATGAACCGAAGAGCTCGTCCGCGCCGCGCAAACGGTGTTTCGTGCCTGTTCCTCAAACGTAAACGTAGACAGACATGTATCCGTACACTTCGCCGGAGGCGTTGTCCCTACGTATCCCATTTAAATACGCTGGAACCTAGAGATTTTTGGTTCGTCGTCATGCTTATTTTGTCCCAGATGTGCTCACGCGATCTACTTAGAGATCTTCATAATACTGTGCTATGGTTGCTACATTGAATTGTGCCTTGGCCGGGCTCTACTTTCAAACTCATCTAATTCGCCCCGGTTCGTTGGCATGAATGTGATTTCATTTACCCTGCTATAATGAAATCGTCCTCAGGATCAGGTTCGTCATTCCCATCGCATTGACAAATGTGCACCTGTGGTTTGCTGTCCTTATTTTGGGGACGATCGGGTTCCGGGACGATCCCATATATAGAACACGAGATTTTGCTCTTAAATTACAGCAGCTTTTCCCCACTCTCGGCCGACAAGATTGAATTGCTGATGACATATCTAACGTTCGTCCCAGAGTGTACTGCTCTCCAGGGCTGAATTGTGGTTTATCTGATGCAGGCAAATCTGCATCCGCATCTGCGTTTGCATTCTCCTCGGATCCGACTGAACCTGTCAATGTTCAAGCAATCTCTCACTGCGCGCGCTAGGAGGGCTAGCTACGTGCACTCGCATGGACCGTACCTTCAATCGAGAATAAAACCTCGTCGATCCTCTCACAATTACCTTGATTCAACTGTACTCGAATAATCCCGACTCGGCTCGCTGGCTCGTAAAGTCCCGCTCGGTCGAATTACTCACGTCTATCGTGCGCAGTCGGGGAGGTACGCAACGCCCGCGATACGAATTCTTTCCCTTCGATCATAACATTTTCTCGCTCGTTTCGACGCCCATCCTCCCATTTCGAGGCCGCGTGCCGTCCCCAGCGATTAAAACCGCGCTCGCACGTCCTCTCGGATTCGCCCGCGGGTGTGGCGCCTCGAGCGCGGGCACGCACGTATCCCCACCGTCCCGCCCGGCTCATCGCATCGCACCGCATCGAAGGAAGAAACGGTTCATTATCTCATTATATTCATTTCGAGTTCCTTACGTAAGTACATCGTGTAGATATGCAAACGCAGGTATATATGCCTCGCACCTTCCCTCGCCCGTCGTACGGCGCGAGCGGGAAGGAAAGAAAGAGCGTTAGCGAGCGCGCAGGAAGTATGAATGAATGACGCACCTGCAACGCAGACCCACAGCGGCGAAGGCTTACTTTGCATCCCTTCTTTTCCTTTCGCGTCGAGGCGACGGGTAGAGTCGCGTATGCGCTCGCGTCCGAGTGGGTGAAGGAAAGAAGGGAAGACGCCGCGCCTCCGCGAGGGCGGACGCGGCTAAAACCACCGAAGGCAGGAACGCGGGTGCGGGGCCGCGCACGCGCTCCCCATCGCGCAGGCCCGCGCGCTCGCTGAAGCCGTTCCCTCCCTCATCCCCGCTTCCTTCTTCATTTTCATCTTCCGCATTTTCAGCGGCCGACGTAAGAGCGGCCTCGGTCTCGGTAACGGCGAACTCGGTCGCGGCGAAGAGCACCGAAGGCGGGGGCGCGTACATACCGTCCTCCACCCGCTCAAATCCTGATACCAAGAACGCGTCAGCACCAGCCCAAAGCACGGCCTTGTCAAAAGACGTACCATCTTCCACCTGCCCTTCACCATCCTCTTCCTCTGTCTCTTGCTCCTGCTCCACCTGCGCCTGCTCCTGCTCGCCGCGCTCGTACGCCGGGACCCGTTCTACGTCCCACACGTCGGCCCCGCCACCCCGCGCGAGGTCCTCTCCAAACGCAAACGCGTCCGGCGGCGCGGAGGAGGGGAGCACCGCGGCGTGCCCATGCATCCCCCCACCACAGCATCGATCGCGCGCGCCGAGTTCTTGCTCCTCTTCTGTCTCTTCCTGCGCCTCCAGCTCCCCCGCTTGCTCGCCGTGCGCGTGCGCGTCGAGCGCAAGCACGGCGGCGGGGACGGGGCACCCCGGCGCCTCTTCCGCCCCCTCCTCCTCAGTCTGCAGCTCGTAATCCCAAGACGGCGCACCCGCGTGTATCCCCCCCACAACAGCATCGATCGCGCGCGCGGAAGGGAGCTCTTGCGCCGCGGTCTCTTCCTCCTCTCCACCTTTCTCCCCTTCCTCCTCCTCCTACGTCCTGCCCTTCTCCCGCGTCCACCCGCGCCCCCACATCCTCGTGCGCCTCCAGCTCGGCGCACCGAAGAACAGGGACGGGGAAAGACGGCGCGCCGTGTATATGCATCCCCCCATCACAGCATCGATCGCGCGCGCCGAAGGGAGCTCTTCTTCCTCTACGTCCTCTCCCTTCTCCTCCTCCGCCGCTCCTACTTCCGCCTGCGCCTCTTCCTCTCCTACTTCCGCCTGCGCCTCCAGCTCACCCAGGGCGTACTCACCGTGCGCGTGGGCGTCGTACGCATCGAGTGCGTCGAACGCGCGGGGACAGGTACGGGGACGGGGAAGAGGCAAGGAAGGGGTATCCTGGCGTGTCGGCGTCAGCGTCGTGCTCTTCGTCTTCGGCACGCTCGCTGTGTGCGTGCGCGTCGAACGCGCGCGCGGGGACAGGGACGGGGATGGGGAAGGGGAAGGGGTATCCCGGCGCGTCGTCGCCATCGACATCGACATCCGCACCAAGATCGGCATGCGCAGCCAGATCGACGAGTTCCACATCGACCAGCGGCAGTGCGGCTTTGTCCAGTGGTAGGAATGCTGATGGCGCGGGCGCAGCGTCCACGTCGATCTTTAGAGCTGCAGCCGCAAGGAAGGCGAGCGCGCCGTCGACAGGCACGTCCACAGCCTCCCGCTCCCCACTGCGAGCTGCGGCGGACTCGACACGCTATCCTTCCTCGACACGCAGCGCGGACACACCAAGAGCGAACGCGAACGGGAACGGCGCGGCGGGCTCGACGCGGTGCTGCGCCACGTGTAACGGATTCCAGTCATCTGCGGCTGCGTCGGTGCGCGCCTTCGCGTGTAGCGGGTGTGCAAGCGCTTTGGCGTGGACCGGCGGGGCGGAGTACGGACGGTCGAACGGGGGCGTATGCCGCGCGGCGGGGGGAGACGGAAACAGGCGCGCGAGAGGTGGCGGGGAGAGCAGGGGGGAGGGGAGGTGGGAGCGCGTGCGCGGCAGCCGTGGGGGGGAGAGTGCACGATTCATAGCATTCATAGCGTCGATAGTAGGGACGGGATTCGTGGTCGTGGAGTGCGGCGTCGCGGGAGGCGGGCGAGGCGAGGGGGATGGTAGCTCGTAGTATTCGTGTTCATAGAATTCATAGCGTCAATATTGGTAGGTTGCTGCACGACGCCCGGCGAGGTGGGCGGGTGAACGAGCGCTCAGGCGGCAGGGGAGGGCGGGACGGAGACGTATACCAGCTCCATCTCGATCGAGTCCATGCCCATCCCCATGTCGAGTACGACTTCGCCTTCGTTGGGCGGGTGGGAGACGTCGACGACCGGCGCGGAGGGGTGGCGGGCATGAGAACCAGATGCGGAGGAGGTGGAGGTGGAAGAGCGGGAGAGGGAGAGGGAGAGGTCAAGCAGCGGCTGTGCATCCACGTCCGCGTCGACGCGGAAACGCGGGAGGACGGGCCCGAGGCTCTTCGCGTGCCGCCCTTCCCCAGGCCGAGTCCCAGGCCCAGGCCGAGGAATCGAGGGGAAGGAACGTGTGTGCGCCCGCGTCTGAGGTAGGTGTCACGGTGCAGCGCGGTCATGCGCACGGAGGTGGGCAGCGCCTCTGCTGACGCCGAGTGTCGCGCGAGGAATGGGAGCCACGTGGAAGAGACGAGGCGCGCGGCGAGGGCGACGGCGGCGAGGAGGAGGATCAGGGCCAGGGCGGCCATGCGGTTAGAGATGGATCTACTACAAGCTAGTTAGCGGGGATTGAAGGGAAATAAGCGTACGGGTTTGTGGGACATGGATTTGGGTGTGGGTCGGGAAAGAGGAGAGCTCCTGCGTGTAGGATTCCGTGGCCGGGCCGGGCGGGAGGCGATGGCGGGAGGAAGTAATATCTGCAAATAATGGCTTCGTCTCGACCGCCACTGGTGTTTCTCGGCTCAGGCAGGAGGGTCCGTTCCTTTCGAGCTTACTCAACACGCTGGAATCCGGTGCTAGGAACCGGGTGTGGTGCACGGTGCACGGCGGCTTCATTTGGCCTGAAGCAGCGTTTAAAGAGCCGCAGGTCGGGGTTCGACTCCCCGCGCCCGAATGATTTATCATTCAGCGTCATTTTATTCTCCCTCTGGGGCTCAGCCTGCCACCCCTTGGAGTCCGACAGGTGTGTCCTTCCCCCAGCAATGATCTCTGAAAAGCCATGATCTCCCGAGGACATCTGTTGAACTTCCGAGGACCGGAAAGAGTGCATAGTTGTTCTGGCTTGAGCTGAAGCTAATTATTGGGTGTGGTACACGGTGTACAGCGGTTTCATTTAGGAGGGAACTGAATGATACTTAGGCCGCAGAGCGGGGTTCAACTCCCTGCGCCCGACCGTCAGCAGCGAGCCCTTCAAAATCGCGGCGTGGGTCGATCCCTCGAATCTCATTGGCCTGGGCAGGATCTGTTGAACTTCCCAGGAAATTGAACCCAGTTATTCTAGCTGGTATCGAAGATGACTGTCGGGTGTAGTGCACGGCGCACGGCGGCTTCATTTATAGTAGTAGAGAGGAGAAATGTAAGCCGCAGCCCTGGGTTCGACTCCCCGTACCAGACCTTGGTGGTTCTGCCACATTTTTTGCGGTTCTTTATTTTCAAGACGAAATTTATCCCACTCAACTAAAGAAATTTTTTGAATGCCGCAGGACGGGGTTCGACTCCCCGCACCCGATGTAGGTCTTTCTCTGTCTTTCTTTTTCGTTTTACTGTAAGCGCTTCGACCACACACAATTGAACCCAGATGTCCCGGCCTGCATTGAGGATAGACATCGGGTGTGGTGCACGGTGCACGGCGGCTCCATTTGAATGATAGATGCCGCAAGTCGGGGTTCAACTCCCCGCACCCGAACTGCTTCTTTGTAAGCCTTTTTTCTCTTAATCCACCACGTCGCTCGGGTGCCGGATTCGGCTGTGATATCTTCATTTGAATCTCGGTGCGCTCATGAACATTTATTCACTCCCTCCCATCTGTTCGAGCTCAAACCAATACGAAATTGAACCTGAACCAGCGGACTGACGTTTAGGAGGGTGTGGTACACGGTGCACGGCGGCTTCATTTGTAACTGAGGGAGAAATGTAAGCTGCAGACCGGGTTCGACTCCCCGTACCCGACCTTGAACTACAACCGAGTATTTTCTCCCTCCGCGATCAGGTGGATTCCTTCCGTCGCATACCTTTGGGTCATAGCACTCCTACTGGTAGATTTTAATTGTCCTGGGCAGAATAGAGAATATATCGTGAGCCCCAAGGATTCCGCGTAGCAGGAAGGCCCTAACCGTTCTCATAAGCGATAAAGTGATTCAAGGAACCGGGCGACGAAACACCTTTAATTCGCAGCACGTTTGGATGCCTGCAGACGACGAGTAAGACGATACGACTGGACCGGGCTAAACGCACATGAACCCCTCCGACAGTGCAACCGGCGATTCCAGTTGCTTCGGGCGGAGGTCAGAGAACAGATCGCATGGATTCCAGCAGCCTACCTCTCGAACGGTTGGCCCCGCATTGAAGACTTTCACAATGACAGCCCGACCCTTGGCTTCCCCGGCGTGGAGGGAATACCCGGGGCCGCTCCCAAGCTCAGGGGTGAGCTTGAGGTGTTTCTTTCGAATGACCTGGTGGAATCTGAGCCCCTGTTTCCTCTCCAAAGTAGCATTTACAATCCTTGATTCCCTCAGACTCCTCCTCGCGTCGGCAACGTTTACGTGTGGGTTCTTCCAAGGAGAGCATATCTGGTGCATCTGTGTGACAACCAGTTGTCGTGACCTTCGCTTCTGCAGAACGAAGGGGATTTACCTTTAATCGCTTCTCGATGGCGCTTTTTCCCGTAGAAGATATTATGGATGAAGTTGTTGTGGATATTGTTGTAGACGCCTTCTCCGAGCGTAAAGTTCTCTGAATTTGAGATGAAAGACATTTGGGTCTCTGGGACTGAGGGTGTGGATGTCGTCGACGCGAGTGGGGAACCTTGGGGAGCACGTTCTTCGACACTGCGCTAAAGGCTGTGCGGAGCTGTCAAAGCTTCGCCGCACTCTAACCACGAGGAACCGTTCGATTGGTCTAATTAGATTTCCCCGAAAGGGGATTTACGTGACTCCCCGGCGCGCGTCTCGGACGCGCCTCCGGCGAGTATTTCTTTTGAATTCGAGTACCTTTGTTCATCGTAGAATCCGTGTCCATATATGTCGCAAAGAAACCTGTACCATCCAAAGGATTGTCACCCAACTCATTTCACCTGGGTCTATGTGGGAAGCCATGTTTGCACTGTGCCCGGAAATATCCGAATGCTGAATGAATGTTGAATTCACTTGGAATTCACAGTTTGTGGGTGCTTTATTTTGCAGCGGCGTATTCAAAAATTCATATGATACTGTGTGTACTTGGTAGCGTCGTTCAAAGGCTATTAATTCACTCTGGCCTGAGGGGATCTCCAAATCCGAAATGCTCGACTGCATCGGCAAGAGGAGGCCTGCACGTCAGTTTGACTTTCCATCTTGGATGGAATTCGAGCAGAAAGGGATACTGAGAGGTATTATGTATTGGACTCTACGATGCTGATGGACTCATGCTGGGGACTGTTCATCTTGTTTTCTTGTTTATATTCTCCAAAGTAATATTGACAGAGAGGGTACTAGTAGTACTGGCCGCCTTCCTTTGACCAAAATTGGGATTGGCATTGTGAATTCCAACATTTAATACGAGGAGGAAAGCCTGCTGATTTACTAGGCAAACATATCCTCGGGGCGAGAGTGGTACTTCTTCGTGTTGTCGGCTTACACTGGCATCAGCGGCAGGATCTCAACGGCAAGGAAAGCCGAGGATATTGGCCGGGGATATTGGCCGGGGATCACCAGAAATCAGCCCGGAGGTCCGATTTTGATGGGATCTAATTAGACCAATCGAACTATTACTCCTCCGCCCCCAAGGGTCCAGGCATACAACTCAATAAATCCCCGTATATGACCGAGCCCGTACATGGCCGACAAGGATTATCAATCCCCGTGTATGACTGAGCCCGAATGGCATGGCCGAGAAGGATTATCAATGAACGGTATAAATATAGCTGGCACTTGTGTAGTTAATTCTCTACTTGATTCCTCGCCGACTTCACTAAACTTCAGCATCATCTCACCTGTGAAACACGATGGTATTTTGGGTGTTACTACTAGTAGGCTTTTTTTCAACCTACACCTTGTTGAACTTCCACTTAAGTTGGCTTCATAGTGTGCCCTTCCGTCACTGGCATCATTATCTCCCCTCCGGGCCGACTTGTTCTTCACTCCTCCCATTGCCGCGAACGCAACACTACCCGACGGTTCCGTCGGATTTTGGCAGCCCACCGTCGTGACCTTGGTGTCGGGACAATCCGAAGCCGTCCTCATCGACACACTTTTCACGTCGGACCAAGCTGTTGCTCTGAGCGACTGGATAGAAGAGACCCTAAACGGGAAGAGACTCCGCACTATATACATCTCTCACGGACATGGAGACCATTTTTTCAATGGGCCGTATATGCAGAGGCGTTTTCCAGGCGTCGAAATCGTTTCGACAAATGACTCCATTGACCATATGGCGACACAGCTGACGCCCGAGCTGCGAACGTATTGGAACGAGTTGTTTCCCGGCCAGATCGCCGAGGAGTCGTTCCAAATCCTGGCGAAGCCCCTCGCGCACAACAAGTTCACCTTGGAAGGGCACATCTTTGAGGCCATCGATGTGGGGCACTCGGATACGGACGAAACAACATTTCTGCACGTGCCTTCGCTGAACATGGTGGTCGCCGGAGACATTGTGTACAACGACGTGCACATGTGGATGAAGGAGTCTACGACGCAGGGCCAGCGGGATGCTTGGATTCGCTCACTTGACAAAGTCGCGGCCGTGAATCCCGGGATTGTCGTGGGCTCGCATCACAGGCAGGGAGGTGTGGACGGCGCTTTCAATATTGATGCTTCAAAGGAGTACATCTCGACATTCAGCAGGCTAGTGACGAAGGCAAAAAACGCGACGGATTTGTACAACAAGGTGTTGGAGGTGTACCCAAACAGGATAGGGAATCTGGTCCTGTGGTTGGGTTGCCAGGCTCAGTTCCCTTGAGCAGTTACTGTACCATTTCGACCGTAGATTCAGCTACTGTGACCTATGACCACTTAGATTCAACTTTTGATTGATTCAAACGGGTGTGGGACCTGTGACCTTCATTTTTATCTTTCAATTGTTCAAATGTTCATCTCGGATCGCTAGAGTTGGTGAAGGCGATGAAGAAGTTGAACATTTGTCCATCATTATCCTTTATATTCCCGGCGGATGTACTGAGGATGATTAGGACCCGTAGAGGAGAGTAGAAAGCGCAGGGATACATTCTTGCTACACTCCTTCTCCCCACAGTATACTTATTTGTGGACCGCATCAGACTCGGCATCACATCCTCCCTAATCCCCATCCGCGCTTCGGGATCGCCTTCCAGCAGCCTACGGAACTTCGTGAGCTTACGGCGAAACAGACGACGCTATCTGCCCTTCATGGACCGCAACGCAGCGGGACACATTTCTGGAGGTTGTTGCGCCCTACAATGTCATCGCATTTGTTGTGGGACACAACCACGGCACTGGACCCATGCCCAACTGGATCAATGCCACTTATAACGGTGTGACTCGTCGGATTCCAGAGTTCCGCCCCGGCGCCGCGTTCTGGAGAAATGCAGCACTCATACGAGTGACTTCCTCTGCCATGGACGTCGGATACGTCAACTCGAACAACTCGAGCTCCCCATGGATCAGTGGAAGTAGCTTTGCCTTACCCTTTCCCAGTCAGGTGTGGGTCAAGATCCCTACCAATAACGGCAACTAATTCGGCCCGCTGAAGAGCATCTATGTCGATACCCGTGCAGTCAGTGCGCCCGCAGGCCAACGAATCTATGGTGTTGGCCTTGCTCGAACGACAGCCGTCGCGGATGATCTAGTGATGTGCAGGGCTCGGCCTCAAGTCCGAGGCCCGCCAGGCCGAGCCCGCCCAGGCCCGAGCCGAGCCGAGCCCGCCGCAGGGCCTGAGCGGGCTCAAAACTCGGGCTTGAGATTCTAAAGCCCAAGCCGGGCCCTGAGGCCCGGGTTTCCCACCGGATCAAACCTGTTGGTATGGCCGAATTTCTACGACTCGGACTCAGGGACCGCTGCTTGCGACACATGTGAATGAAAAATGGGCTTATTTCTGCAATGGCCCCATTTTACTTTCACATGCATGAACGTATCCCAGGTAGGTAGGTAGGTAGGTAGGCAGAATTACACGGCACGGTCCCGCTCAGGAACGCCGGTTCCTGAAATTATCCCGATGTACACGCACTAATTAGCAACATCATCTTCCCTAGGCCTCTCTGTGTCCCGCTAGCCGAGCTCCCGGTCGCAGCTGTCCATCGTGACGTTCAATCTCGCCGGCGTAGAGCTAAAAAAACACAGAGAAGAGATTGAAATTGACGCTCTGGAGAGCTGGGATATCCTCTTGGATGATGATCCTGATAATTATGAACTTCCTTGTACTCTAACTTCTACTGTAGTTCCCGACGTAGATATGGAATCTTACTGCATGTGTATTGACCGCTATGGATTTTTGATGAATATTTTCGCCGTTTCAGCACGGTTCGCCGTCGCCGATAAAATACTCTGAAGCGCGGGCCTGGGCCCGAGCCCCGGGCTTGAGGCTCACCTTCAGGGCTCGGGCTCGGGCTTGAGATATCTCAAGTCCAGGTCTCGCCCCAGCCCGGGCATTCAGGCCGGGCCGGGCCCTGCAGATCACTACTCCTCTAACCACTCAACCAAATTGGCGGCAGAAATGGTCCTGGCTGGCGAGGGATGG